GAGGGAACCAGCCATTTATGTCCATACTGACTCTCTACAGCAATCGAGTTAACAAGCCTTTCTCCACTAAGGGAACAGTGTAGGTTCCTGAACATCCTGCTTTGCACAGTTTCTTCAGAACTGTGCGGACTCTTGGGAATTCTGCTCCCTGAGGCAGGTACCTTCTTAACACTTAAAGTCAGAAAGGTCCCAGAGACCATCAGGCTGCTCTCTAGTTACAGAGAGACTGGTGGTGGTTTAACCCGAGGGTCACTATGCCTCAGGCAAGGGGAGAGGTTGGGGACAGTCCTCCATGACAACCTCAACTCCAAGTGAAACACTGACTAATCCCTTGGAGAACAGGCCCCAGGACACGATGCAAGGTGTAAATCTACAAACATGAGACAGATACAAAAATGACTGAGTATTATTGAGACCAGTTGGCCATGATGTGGAATGTAAATTTACACAGTACCCTTGATAACATCCAGATATCCCAAACCACTATATAACCACTGGACTATTTGAAACGTAGACATTGTTGAAACGTACAAAACATAGCAGCACATCAGAAACAGCAACGAACTAATAACCAGATCAAATTTACTTTTTAAAAACAGATGTTAATTGAGTGGTAAATATTGGCTCTCAGGAGGAGAAACTGCTCTGCTCGTCAGGCAAGAGGCAATATATCTTTCGAGTCTAACTGAGGGACAGACAGGGCATTGGTTTAACCTCTCTCACAGATAATCTCCAACAGTGCGGCGCTCCCTCAGCGCTGACCTTCCGACAGTGCCAGTGTCGGTAAAATGCAACTTGAGTCCACAGTACATACTTAGTGTGAATGGGAGAGGGTAAGAGGCAGCTCCCCTGTACAACAAACTTTTGTTGCAAATGTACAGAAGGAGCGACTATACATTCCTCCATTTAGTCACCTTCAAGATGCTCGAGATATGTTCTAGGCTACAAAGACAAGGGTTTCGCGTTCCGCACAGAATTCCAGATCATTTCTGGTTGACTGCTCACAGCCATCAGCCCAATACAAATCCACCCCATAGATCCACATGAGGTTGTACCTCCAAGTGGGAGAGAGCCTCTGACTAACAAACTGAAGGAATGCAAACTAAGAATCAACTACTTCGGTCATAAAACTGAGCATGTTCTCATTACCTACTGGCCCTGTAGACACACAAACCAGAAACACAATTATTACAGTGGTCCCACCTGACAGCCCACTATATGTATATTCTTTGTTGCAAAAAGAAACTATCGACACCAGCGAGTCATGAAAGACAGTTATGTCCCTACACAGCTCTCAGCGAAAGAAATTCTCCCATCTGACTTAACCTTTCAGGAAACTGCCACTTTTGACATTTTACACCAGCACTTTTTGTGGCGTGTGGAGATGGAAGGCGAGTGTGAGAATGTTCCCACTCAATTGGGACAGGAAGACAGTTCAACAGAACTCCCAGAGAACAACAGGAATCTCTCGTGCTCACAAAACATGGCTTCACCTCAAACAACATTCCGAACATTGAGCCAGGGCCCTGCGATTCCAGCAGGGAGACCTTGGCACTCAGCAAGTGAACATGACAAGAGAAAGTCTGACCCTCACCGGGAGACAAGACTGAACAGTAGTGTTAAATAACACTCCCATTGCACCTTGCCACACGGCTTTCCCCACTCTCTCATTCCAATAGTCTTAGGAATCTCTCCCCGGTTACCATTCGGAGCTGGTTTCAGCAGCTTTGGGTGTTAGTTTGAAATATGAACGGTTACTTTCTCTCTCCTCGCACAGTGTCTAAGGTGGTCATTGGTCTGCAAAGCTGTCAGGAGCTGGAGCAGCTCAGAATCTCCGCAAAACAAATGATCAGCTATTGTCACAATTTGGAAAAAAAACACAGATTGACCTGGATCAATGAGAACCTACCACTGCTGAGCTGAGTAACTCAGGATTTCAATATTCCGGTTAGATGGAAGAGATGTTGGAAGGGCTGATGGGGAAGGGGTTGGGATGTCTCACCGTCAGTCATTGCCAAACCCAGCTCCATTGTTGCCGATTAATTCACCAAAGGCAGATCAATCTGCTCCATCTATGATACTGGAGTCCAAACACTCCCCCTCCAGTTCCCACACACCAAATCAGGCTGTGGGCATCTCTGATCACCAACCCAAATCCACATTCTCCCATTAACCCCAACAGAAAAAGACAATCAAAGGCTTGTGCAGCACCAGAAGCCATTCAGCCCATTCTATGTCAGCCAATGGGGCGGTAGAAGTCTCTTGGCCGCACCCGGCCTACAGTAACATCGTGCAATGGCATTAACGGCTATGGGCAACACCAGGCTCCTCTCCTTAGTTCCATCAAACGGCAGCCAGATTTGTCCCCACAAAATGAACAAGCCATCCTCAAACGTTCCATCTCTCAATAACCACTGATCCCAGCAGCCGGTGAATTGCAGGGTAACTCACCAGCTCAGTGCAGTCCCCATCGGATAAATGAATGAATTCTGCATCAGCCCTTTGTTAGCTAAAGGCACAAAAAGCAGTTTCTTTAAACCCCGTTTTCAAAGTGAATCTGAAACGCACAACTCGAAACGGCAGCTGAAACTGTCCTCACCAGAACCCAGATCGGATCACAGTCCTCCCAACTTAACGCCACAACATCACCGGTGCGGAAGATTCTTATAACCACATCAACGTCACATCGCACACATTTCCAAACGGCCATGTTCTCAGTCATTGCATTTTTTTCATGAAGACTGAGAAATGACGAAGAGTGCCATAGCCATCCAATCGCCTGGGGAAATGTTTCTGTTCTGATACTTTCTCTCAGCTCTTACAGATTGCTGTTGAACAAGAGAGAGTGTTTAACCAACCCAAACCAACATATCCCAGGCACAGACACAAACTCTCAACAACCACTAACTCTGGAAGCACTTTGTAACACCAACTGCTAACCTTCAATCTTCAACGTGATGAAGAATCATCAGCTCCTGGACTTACCTGTGGTTAGTAATCACCAGCTTCAGCCAGTTTCACCCTCAAAACCCCTCCCATTCAATCTGCCACTTTCTATTTGCACTAGAGTTGTCTACATTAGGCTGCAGGAGCAAACAGTAAAAATGAGCCAGTTCACATTACCCAGTACAAGAGGGCACATCTGTTAAGGATCGGTCTGGCTCTCTAATCTCTAGTGTGGAGCACCAGCAGGGGAGAGCCAGCAGCTGTAGCAGCAAAGCAGCTGCACAGGGGAATGGGGGGGGTGGAGTTACAAAACTTCCCAATTTGTATCCCAAGCACATGATGCCTAGGGATTCAGTCTCTGTCAACTCCTTCCAGCAGTTGATGGGCCTTTCTCTTACAAGGGTGAGGGAGACACTTTCTACTGAGTGCCCTTACCCAATCATCAGCTCACACCCACCCTGACCCCACAGGGATTCCACCAAAATGATCCTTTCAATTCTATAATTCCCGCCCCAGACTAGTCCTAATCCCAGTTGCAAACAGCTATGTCTCTGTGCTAAATCAGAGCTCTAAATAAGAAGTGCGTTCAGCTTTTTCTTATATAATAAAAGTTAATTTGTACTAAAAGTTTATCACGACCTTTTTAAAAAAAAAGTCGCTGGAAAAGTTTCAGCTAGCTCGGGTGAGCTGAATTTTGGAGATATCACATCGGTTTAGTCTCATCTCCATAAAGTGGCTGTTGTCTGCTTCATGTTACAAATAAAAACATATCAAAACAGGCGAAGCTGAAGAAGCAGAGGCGGAAAGGCCCAAAATCTTCGCTGGGCTTCAGGCACATTTCGCTTCTACGTCTGATTTTCAGCGTTCGCAGTTTTTTTTTTACTCTCTGTATCTCGAGGTTTTACGCGTTTTAAATGATAACCGATAGTGTTGTGGCAAAGATCTCAATTGCAGCATGAAAACCAGGTCCTAACAAAATAAAAAACCCAATAACCCCGCCTCCAGATTCACTCGGAAAAAATTCCCAATGGTGGGCGGGAGCCAAGGTGAACGGCAGAGGGGGTGGGGGAGAGATAGAGACGGGCAGAGAGAAGGGGGAACGAGGGACAGGGAGGGAAAGCAAGGGGGGCGGGAGGAGAGGCGTGTGTACATCCACAGCGAGGTAATGACCCCTCTGAAACGATGGACGCTGGCATCGGGGAGGATGGCGCCTGTGACCTACCATCAGAGCTCCCGCCCTACAAGGGGGTAGTGACCGCTGGAGGCAGAAATGCTGGGCTGACCGGGATCCCCCACCTCACACACAGTGGGGGGGTTGGGGGGGCCGGTTACCCCCCCTCCCCCCCACCACCCCCCCCCTGCCACGGGGCTACTTATTCACAGCGGCAGATTTCACAAAGTTGTCGGCGTTGCAGAACTCCTTGATGGTGACGGTCAGCAGGTTGGTCGTCACGTCGGTCACCACCACGTTGGAGCACGGCGACATCTCAGGCCGCCAGTCCGAAACGTCGCGCTCGGAGTCCAAGCCCACCCAGCTCTCCTGGCCCCCTGGAGGGGACCTCCTTCCCGCAGCGGACTCAGGAGGCAGCGACAGATCGAGGGCCTCCGCCTCTCTCCAGTCGGGCACCGTGGGGCTCGGGGCGTCGCCCTGGAGCTTGGCCCCGCAATGACGCGCCTCCCCCGACCGCTGGCACTCGCTGCCCGGGGGCACCGGGTCACTGGCGTAACAGGGGGCGCAGGGAGGGGCAGGAAAGGGCTCGGGTCGGACAGTAGGAGCTCGGAAGCTCGGCTCCGAGCAGGAGGTGCCTGCATCGCTCTCCATCCTCCTCCCGTCCACCACCGGAGTCCGGAAGGATTTGTCGTAGACGGAAAAGTTATTGAATTTCATGTGACGGATCTGACTGCGAAGGATACTGTCGCTGAATTTCTTGCTCTTACCGATGACGCGGTTGCGAGACGGGATCTTGGCTTTGCCTAGCGCCTTGCTACTGCTCTTGTCAATCACCTTCAGGTTGAGGATGATCCTGTTCCGTTTGCGTTTCCGAGGCTCCACCTTGCGGTTGATGATTCGTACGGTCTCAGGGAGGGGCAGGGACGTCCTACTCTGCCCGCTCAGGCCCGGTTGCGGCTCGGCACGTCCCAGGTTCCGTTTGGATGTCCGATAGCAACGGCGGATGTTCTTCTTCAGTTTGTAGGCCGCAAGGCTGCTGGGGAGCTTGGCTGCTGACCCTGGACCAGGCTTCATGGAAAAATGCATCTCCCCAATCCGTAAGGCTTCAGCTTGGGCACGGGCCTGGGTAATTGGGTGGGGGGGGATATGGAGTGAGAGAGAGAGAGAGATATGGACAGCAATTACAACGCAGCAGAGAGCAGCTCCCTAACCCTATCGCAGAGGCTTGGACAGAATCACTGCAGGGAAACGTACAAAATTAGGAGCAGGAGTAGGCCGAACAGCCCCTCAGGTCTGCCCCACCATTCCACACGAGGTTGTCACATTCCCATTTGCTCCACTCACTCTTGACTGAAAAGGAAGTCAATCTCAAGTGAATGCTGGGAAAACTCAGCAGGTTTGGCAGCATCTCTGGAGAGGCCATCAGAGCCAACGTTTCGAGTCTTCTTCATAACCAATACCAGCAGAAAGCTGCCTCCAGTTATGGGGTTGTAGTAATGT